TGCGAGACAAGTGGGGTATGCCGAAAGCCATTTCGAGGAACCTAAAATAGCTAAATTTGACGCTTATGGCAGTGGTCAAGTACGCTGTCCTGGTTTCAAGTGTAAGCACAATTCGGGCGTTGAAAGTAAAGTCGGCCGAAGGAGGGGATGCTGAAACCGTTATTGGGGAAAACAGCCGAGGCTGAAACGGAAAAGACGACCTGGTGTATGAGAAATCTGCCGCGAGACTGAAGGGAGCCTAGAATCCCCGCAAAGGACCTGACTGACAGGAAACGCGGAGCAGCAATTCCCCAAACCTAACGGTAAACCTAATCCTTAGCGTAATTATAAACCTAACGTCAACCCTAGACTTGAGACTATACCTAACCCTGAACCTACCACAAGCACTGGCCCTAATGTCAGACGACATGATTACCAGCTTAAAAGGGAACTGTGCCACACAAATCAACGTTCCTCCTTTTTCTCACAGAGGGTCATTCGCCAATGGAACTCTTTGCCGGAGTATGTTGTTAATTCCCCTACTGTGAGTGTGTTCAAGAGACAACTGGATACTCACGTGCTAAAAGGCAACCCGAACTGCCGAGGCCTGATCTGACGGATTACTGAAATGACTATAAATATACTACTAACATGATTTCGACAGATCCTTTTTTGTGCGCTAAACTTAACCCATATGGAATGCGGTGAACAAAAGTTTTCGCAATTATTTCGCGAATACCATACCCCTTTCGCATTTATGTTCTATTATTAGATTTATGAATTCTCCGTACTAAAACTGCAAGCAAAAGTTTCGCAATTTAACTATTTCCCATTACATCTGTACGGTTTAAATGGAGTTTTCAGGGCTTCTGTGGTTTACTCCAAATATACTGACTGATACTGACTGAACTCTAAGCCTAACCGTAACCATAACAATAACTATACCCCAGCCGAAACCTAAACCGCAATCCAAACCCTAATTCTAACCAGAACTCTTAAAGTTCACACAAGTCCTAACCCTAGACTCAATTCTCAGACTGGCACTAATCCAGACCCTAAAACCAACCCTACCTCTACACCGAAACATCAGGTTACTCTTTTCCGCCTTCGCTTTGGCTACCTTTCTACTAACAATTTCAGCATCCTCCTTCGGCTTACTTTACTTGTAATGACCACACTGTGCTAACACTTAGAACAAGGACAGCGTAACCGACCCCTAATGCTTATTATTTTCGGTGTAAATGTAGAACAAACATATTTATAAAGAAGATGAAGACCCGATCTCTGGGACAGTGGGTTTATTAGTCTGAGCTTTCGGTCTCGTACAGGAGGCCATCGCCAGAGACTGTGAGAAGGCAACATCAAATGAGCGGTTTTTGTAGTCACGCCATGAAGGGGGGGGGGAGAGATATGAGTGCAGAGGGTGGTATTCGAGATAAGTTGCGTCCCACGCCGTCTCACGGTGGCGTGACTGCGTGCACCCTTGGCTGGAAATTGGGTCGCACCTCTTGGCCGCGGGAACGGAGCGCGTGATAGCAGTCTCTGACGATGGCCTCCTGTACGAGACCGAAATCTCAGACTAATAAACCCACTGTCCCAGAGATCGGGTCTTCATCTTCTTTACAACAAGAACCTGGGATTCGCATATTCGCTTCCATCCGTAAACATATTTATGTTTGTTCTACATTTACACCGAAAATAATAAGCATTAGGGGTCGGTTACGCTGAGATTTTTGTGAATTTGTGAATTTGTGATTGCTTTTCATTCACTTCCTGGTTATTTATAATGTGATTAGTAACTAGTGGGAATAAAGTATTTGGAATTTGTTCGGAATATCGTCATGAAAAGGACAAGGTCATAAGTAAAACACGATATATGGTCGATAAAAAAGTCGCTTGAGACGCAACAGGAAAACAAGCAAAATGTGTCAGCTAATGTGCGATTTAGAATACTAAGGATTACCGGCATAAAGTCAAATAACCAATCGTTTTAGAGGTCTTTAGTGCTGGCGAAAACGACATAAAGGGACGGTTACGACATGCGAATCCTTTCTCCCGTCATTCAACTTTGGCTAGCAAGTCAAAAAAAATTCACGTCGGAAGCAGAAATATTCTCAACACCTGCTTTGTTCGTTTGTTCAGGAGCTTGGACTGCGAAATTTCGGATCAAAAAGATTGTAAAAAAACCTACAGTGCCCAAAACTCGGACGGGACATTCCGCCGGATAAAATTTTGCTCCATGAGATAATGTTGTTTCAAGCGATTTTGAGGAAGCTATATAAGGGTCATCTCTAGCCCTCCAAGTAAACAGGATTATTTTTGGACCCCATTGAAGAATGAGGTGAGAAAAAAAACCAGATAAGTCTTTCA